CAGCTGGTCCCCGCCCCCCCCGCTGAAGCTGTCAATCATTTTTACACTGGATGGGTGGGATTTCAGCCCCTGAGTCCTGTCTAGACTCCAGCACACCCTTGCACATACTTGCCCATGCCTGTCCTTGCCCGCAGCCCGCACACGCAGAGCAGACACACCCGAGGACACTGCACACACATGTCCACACGTTACACGTCGGTGCATAGCGCTGGCCGCACAGAGCACACTACACGTGTGCGTGTGCCACTGAGGCCCACACTGCTCCGACACGCGTGCCCAGTCCCCACTGCCCCTGTATGCGCATGCGCACACACACATACACGCGCGCGTGTTCTGAGACTCACTATCCTCATGCACACATGCACTGCACAGATCTGCTCTGCACAAGTGCATGCACATATGTGCACACGTGTTCTGGGACCAGGTCTCCCCCCTGCACACATGAACTACACAGATCCACTCTACACATAAGCACACGCAGCAACACGCTCTGCACACACAGGTCCCAGCGGGGACTTGGACACACTCCCAGGCCCGGGTCAGTGCCTGCAGCTGCTGTGGCCGGACACGCGCGGCCCCCAGGGACCTACCAGCTGCAGCCAGCGCTGACTAAGCCCTGACCCGACCCCGCACTGGCTGTGGGTAAGGGGAGCTGAGAGGCCCATCTGGAAGCAGGGTCTGAGGAGGGGGTTCAGTGTGGGTCTCCTCTGCCCCAGTGCCTGCTGTGCAAGGCAGAAGGTGTTGCATGGCACATACCTGAGATGCTGCCCATGGCCCAGGGGCACAGGCCTGGCTCCGCTCCAGCCTGGGGATTTCCACTGTCCCTGCAGTGCCCCTGGCCTGGGCAGAGGGGCAGCTGGCTCTGGTGGGGAGTTGGGGGGATGCAGGGGTAGGGAAAAGCGGCTGGCTCTCGGGTGGGCATCAGGACTGGGTAGAATAGGCCCTGGGATGCGGCTGGCTCTGGGGTGGGTATTGGGGGCTGGGTAGAACAGAGCCCCTTGCTCCATGCTGTGATGCAGCTGCCGGGGGGGGGAGGCATGTTTGTGTGCGTTTTAATCGCCCTCTGATTTTTCTTTCCTTTAATCCACTCTGGGATTAGGCACAGGGGCCTGGGGGGGCAGGGGCTCTGTGAAGCTGCCGCCCCCCCCCCCCAACTGAAATCTGTCAGCCCAACATGAAGGTGGGGGGCCGGGAAGGGGGTGCAGGGACCCTGGTCATCCCCAGGGCCCTGGAGCCAGGGTTGGGGGTGGACAGACAGACACAAAGGAACAGATTGGTGTGCAGACAGACAGAGAGATGACGAGCTACAGGGACAGCAGGCAGACGAATCCACAGAGATAAACAGACAAGTAAAGGTGCAGAGGGATAGGCAGACAGACACATGCATGGAAGGACAGGCACGCAGTGGCCCCTGACCCCCCCCATACTCCCTACTCCCCCCCCTC